AGGGGAGGGGTGTGCAGTGCATGGCCCAGATGCGATCTCCTGAGGGGACCCCGCCAAGCTGGCGGCGCGTCCTGGGGGCGGTCCCCCTTCTAAAGCATCTTAAACAGTTCGAAGACACCCCCTTCCAAACTTGCCAGTGGGACACGCTCCCTCCTGAGCTGCACCACGCGATTCCGATTGGCCCTAAACCCAACTGTGGGTCCGGGGGCTCACAGCTTCCCGGAGCCCGGTGACCTCCCCTGCCCCGCCCCCCCGCAGCAGTGCTGACCCCGGGCCTCTGTCTCCAGACTAAAAGGGACAGGGACGCCGTGGACAAACTGCTTAAGGACCTGGACGCCAACGGCGACGCCGAGGTGGACTTCAACGAGTTCATCGTGTTTGTGGCCATGCTCACGGCCGCCTGCCACAAGTTCTTTGAGCGGAAGGGGCTCCCCTGACGCCCCGCAAACCCGGAGGGGGAGGGGGGCGGAGCAGCCCCTGGCTTCCAGACCAGAATCCTGTGCGTCCTCCCCTCCTGCCGCCCCTGTGATCAGTAAAATGCTTGTGAGATGCTCCCAGTCTGATGGACATGGATTATTTCCTGACCCCCTGAGCGCCCCCACCTCCAACACAATGAGCCCCCTGATTCCTCCCTTCCTACTCCTGCCGGGTGGGGAGCCGGAGAGGGAAAGGACACGGTCAGTGGGTAGGACAGGCCACCTGCTGACTGCCCCCTGTGCCCGGGGCCGGCGGAGGCCCGGTCCCTGCTTCTGGGGGGGCTCCGCACCAAGGGAGCGCCACCCTGCACTGGATCCACCGAGGCCCGCAGGCCGCGCGTCCCTCCGCCCAGCCCGTCAGAGCTCTACGCTCACCGCTCACCGGGGAGACTGCCTGTCCCTCTCTCTCTGCCCCTCCGCCCCACTCTTTTTTACAGACTATTTACTTGTCAGAGAGAGAGCACAAGCAGGGGGGAGCGGCAGGCAGAGGGAGAAGCGGGCTCCCCACTGAGCAAGGAGCCTGATGTGGGACCTGATCTCAGGACCCTGGGACCATGACCTGAGCTGAAGGCAGACTGAACCTGACTGAGCCAGCCAGGCATCCCAGCAAAACCAGGACCAGGGCTGGCACGAAGCCTCGTAAGGGAGGCCGGTTAGGAGAGCATTGCACTAGTGGCCTAGGGCAGTGGGGGGGGGGGGGCAGAGGAATCCAAGGCACATTCTGGTCCTAGATTCAATATGCTTCAGTGACAGTGAGGAAGAAGGAAGGGGTTGCTGAGAAAGAGGGAGAAATCAAGAAGGACATCAAAGTTTCTGGCTCAGAAACCTCAGTTTGAGTTATCTGCACTGGTAAGCAGACACAATTAAATTTTTTTTAAGACTTATTTATTTATTTATTTTAAATTTTATTTATTTATTTAATTGAGAGAGAGAATGAGATAGAGAGAGAGCATGAGAGGGAAGAGGGTCAGAGGGAGAAGCAGACCCCCCGCTGAGCAGGGAGCCCGATGCGGGACTCGATCCCGGGACTCCAGGATCATGACCTGAGCCGAAGGCAGTCGTTTAACCAACTGAGCCACCCAGGCGCCCAAGACTTATTTATTTTTGAGAGAGAGGGAAAGGGAGAGAATCTCAAGCAGAGCCTGACACAGGGCTCAATCTCATGACCCTGAGATCATGACCTGAGCTGAGACCAAGTGTCAGACGCTCAACCAAACAAACCACCCAGGCGCCTCACAATCAAATTTAATTTACATACTGAATTAATACTAATTCATTCAATGAGTATTAAGCACCAACCATGTGGCAGCCAAGCATTCATCTTTGGGCTGGGAATTTAGTGGGTAAACAAAATTCCTGCCCCGGAGGGGCTGACGTTCCACATGGAGAGCTCAGACAATACACAAATTAATAACCACATGTCAGGTAGTGAGAAGATAAAAGGGCACAGAGAGCCCCGGGGATGGCAGTGCTGTTTTAAAGAGAAAGCATAAGGCAACATGGAAGCAGACACTCAAAAAGTAGCCTAGTGAGCTATGTGGATATCGGATACTCGCCTGCTTTCAGAAGAAACGAAAGTATTGTTTTGTATTGTATTGCGACAAAACAGGAGTGAAGACTCAGGCCTCACAAGCCAACAGACCCAAGTGACCGCTGAAGAATTTCCCAAGCCTTCTGGAAGAGAGCACACAATTTCAGACTTCACAGCAAGGGGAGTTTGGGCATGACGGGCTCATCCACGACAAATGAGTTCAGAGCTGCTGACAGAAGGCAATTCGAATTTTCTTTTTTTTTTTTTTTTTAAGATTTTATTTGTTTATTTGACAGATAGAGAGCACAAGTAGGTAGAGTGGCAGGCAGAGGGAGAAACAGGCTCTCCGCAGAGCAGGGAGCCAGACGTGGGACTCGACCCGAGGACCCCAGGATCATGACCTGAGCCGAAGGCAGCCACTTAACCGACTGAGCCCCCCGGGCGCCCCAGCAATTCAAATTTTCTAGCTGACTTGGAAGTTGTTTCAATTCCACGGACACATAATCCAAGTAGGGGAAAAATTTATAAATTAAAATAGGAAATCCACACAAAGTCCTGCATGCCTCTCCATTACACTGCATCACAAGCATGAGTGAAGACCATCCCCTTGTCACCACAGTGCTCTGCATTAGAACCAAGGGTCCAAAATGACTCAGAAGACTTTAAGGCTCTGACCATGAAGGAGGCTTAGCATCAAGCCCTGGGATAATGAAGGGATGGAATTCACCCTAATGGAGGAATATAATCTATGGTCAGTTAATCAAGGGGAAAACCTAGGGGTGCCTGGGTGGCTCAGTTGGTTAAGCGACAGTCGGCTCAGGTCATGATCCCGGGGTCCTGGGATCGAGCCCCGCATCAGGCTCCCTGCTCTGCTGGAAGCCTGCTTCTCCCTCTCCCACTCCCCCTGCTTGTGTTCCCTCTCACGCTGTCTCTCTCTGTCAATTAAATAAATAAAATCTTTAAGAAAAAAAGACTCTCGGGCGCCTGGGTGGCTCAGTTGGTTAAGCGACTGCCTTCGGCTCAGGTCATGATCCTGGAGTCCCGGGATCAAGTCCC